GTTCAGCAGTTGCCGCAGGGCCCCAGAGAGGCTTGGGAATCTCCACTCTTGGAGGTGTTCAGGACTCACCTGAACAAGGAAGGCCCTGAGCAACCTGATCTAACGTTGGGGTTAACTCTGCTGTGAGCAGGGCCTCGGACTCAGTGATCCAGAGCCCAAAACCGTAGTCGAAGGAAGGGTAGAGGAAGAGGTTATGCATGGAGCTTCTTTCCCCCCTGTGCTCTCTAAGCCTCCATTTGCAGCTGCTGTAGGGTCAGCCATCAAATCCGTAACAAATTCAGCATCCTTTGGCAAGGAGTTCCATTGCTCAGTTACAGAAACACACACACCCTCCTTCAGCTTGCTTATAGCCTGCTCCCTGTCTTGTTCTTGTTATCATCTGGTGGTTGTCAAGAAGGAAAAATCAATGACCAATTCCTATTCACCCCCTCCAAGCTGCTCATGATGCAGACCCACAACATCCATGTCCTTCCTCAGCTCTTCACCAGGCTGAAGGCTCCAGCCCTGGTTAGGTGTTCTTCATTCAGAGCTTTTCTACACCTCTGATCACCTTTGCTGTCCCTCTGTGAGTTGTTTCCAACTCTGGTATTTTGTTTCGGAGATGAGGGTGAAAGGTGGTGCAGAACTGCAGCCTTCAAGATGCTGGTGAGGCATGGACATATACATACATACACACACACACTCACTCACTCTGATGATTTCTGCTGTTTGTTCACCACAACCAAGCATTAAGCTAACAACTGCATGGACTCATATGTGACCACAATCTTACTCCAGGGAGGCGGTGACCAGTTCACAGTTCATTGTTTTATATGTAAATTTTGAATTATTTTTCTCCATGAACGTTGTTTTACATATGCCTATATTTATGTTTCATCTGCAGTTCTGCTGCCCGCTCATTTGCTACCAAAAGGTCCTTCTGCCATTACTCACAGTCAGCTCCCACCCTATTGTCCTCCACAGCTCCCTACCATCAGCCCATTTCCTCACCTCACCATACAAGCTCTATTTCCAGGTCATTTGGGAATACACTGGAGGGTGGGTATTTTAGGGTAGGCCCCTGTCATTGTCATCACTGATGACTTCAATTTGCTGCAAAAACTGGATCTTTAATCCCACTTTCCATTTCCTGTTTTCTACTAATTCTGTACCCAAGAAAGACATCATCTTCTTATGTCATGACTTTAGCTTTATTTAAAGACTTTGATGAGAAAATCTTGTAAAATAACTTTTTTTAGAGACCCAAGGGAACCGTTTCAGCCAGACTTGCCTTGCCCACTAGCTCGCCAAGTCCCTCAAAACCCTCCAGTGTTACAAGACAGGATTTGCCTTTACAAAAGCCAATGTTGGCTCTTCCTTTAACACCACACGCGCTGCAATCCTGTTACACTGTCTCCCCTCTTGCCCAGGTTATCGACTTCACTGTTCTGGGCATCCCTCGTGTTTGGGGGAATCTCATTTGGCACCCTTTTATGCAAATCAGCATTGCATTTGTTGCTTCTAAATCTCAGCACTGAGATGACTTTAGACCAGAGGCTCTGCCATTTTGCACAGAACGGCCTCGTAGCAACACACCGCAGAAAAGGGAATTTCTTGCCAAGTGGGACAAGGAATCACGAGTAACAGGACCTGGCGGTTGGAAGGAGCCAAGAGATAAGGAAGTATTTGCCTTACCAGCTGGTGGAAGGAACTGGTGACTGTACCCCTGAAGAGGACCAACCAAAAGGGAATATCCTTACTCAGAAGGCAGGATAATCAAGACTGATAAAAGGGGAACCTCCTGACTCAGAAGGCCCAGCCAAAGGCTGGGTAAATGCTGCAGGGGCATGAGGTCAGCAAAGGCCGTAACTGGGGGAAAGGTAAAGGCAGGGAAGGGAGATCGCGACCACCGACTCAAACCACACCCAAAGAGGCTTGTGTCCGTCTGTCCCCCCAACAAGGAGCACGCATGGTAATTTCCACAGCAGGCGAGGCTAATTTAAATATAATTAACCGATAGCAAGCGCTACAGCGATCGATAGCCAATAGATACGAACTTAGGCGGGTTTCCTTTCATCATGTAACAGGGTAAGTACATGGTAGTTTTTTTGGAAAGGTGCACTAGCTTTGTGGGGTTACCCCCTAGTGCCCATCTCCGGCAGAAATTAAATAAACAGCGAGTACCTCGACTCGATGTGTGAGCTGGTGGTTGCACACCGGGTAAAGAACCCAGGTTTGGGATAACAGCAGTGCAGTTGTTGGCGCAGGGTGGAGGCCGCCTGGGCTTGGGGAATGGGCAGATGGACGATCTTCCTGTGGCTTGCCCAAGCCAGATCCCCTCCGCCCG